GTCACACGGTGAGGCGCCCGTAGCGGGTCACGGCAGAGATGCTGCGGCTGGACCCAGCACAGCGCTCTACTGCTGCCTCCAGGACTCCCGCGGGGCCAGCTTGGAAGGCCAGCGCGCTGCAGGAGGAGGCTGAGAACGGCTGACTTAAGGGAAAAGCGCCACCATGCGGCTGGTAGTTTGTGTCCAGGAGAAACAAAGCTGACAGTAGCTTAGCTAATCTCTCCCCCACCCTAGAGTTTTAGTTAGAACAGGACTCAGAGGAACTGAGTCCCTGGGAGGGATTTCATAAATCAGAGTGCCTGGAAGAGCAGGAGAGGGAAAGATGGTGGCAGGCACAGCACCAATTCGGCTGATGTACCTGTCAGGGCCTGTGGCCTCCTCCCTGGATGAAGGCCAGCATCTTCTCGAGATCCTTGGTACCTTTCTAGGGCTCCTCGGTGGACCATCCCTGTGCATTCATCCTGCCGGATAGAGCACACCACGAGAAAATACCCGATAACAAGCACACACCTGAAATAATTCCTGAAAGACTGGAAGAGGAGAGTGAAATCTGAATGCAGTGATGACGAATTATAAAAACGTAAGGTTTTTCTGTAGTTCAGTCAAACCAGGACACCGTATTAAAAGTGGAAATGGCTCGTGATGAGTCCTTCTGGTGTTTGAAAGTCTTGCGGGATTTTGTTTACGCTCTCAGCCAAAGAACTGAGTGTCCCATAATGTCACTGAGGAATGAAATGTCATCTGCTGGAATCCATGGCTCCTGCATGTAGAGCAAAGTGGAAGGAAGCATTACCTGGTGCCCCAGTTAGGCAGCCTGTGAACCCCACTGCCACAGGAGGTGATGAGGGTGAACGCTGTGGCTGGATTGAAGCGAAATGAAGAACTTTATGACCAACGGATGCATGTTCCAACTCTTCACACTAAAACAAACAGGGTAATCAAAGTGCGGCTTCATGGTGACCTCTCCCTTGTAAACATGAATATATAATTAGCCATGGAGAACCTGAGACATTTGCACCTCTCTGCCAGCGCTGGGCACTGCCCCTGTAGACGAGGAGATCCGCATGAGCACTCAGGGGAAGGCTGCTGTGGAATTACCTGTGTAGACGAGCTGAGTTACATGTGCACGGCAAGCACAGAAGAGAACCAGAGTCAGGATTTTTCTCCTCACCGCTCCCCGATTACCTCCTCCACCACCTCAGGCATTTCATGCTGGCTCCCTCCACTGACTGAAGTCACCAGTGGGCCCTGGCTGCTCCCCTGACGGAGTACCCTGTCCCTCTAGGTGTCCTCTGGGCTCCTACTTCAGCTCACAGAGATTCTCTGGGTGTCCTCTCAGAGCTCCCACACACCTGCCCATTCTCACCTGGGCTGGGCCATAAAGAGGTCTGAAGAATCCCCAGACAGTTTCCTTTTAGGCTGCTGTTCAAAAATACAAAATTTGAGGGTCCAGCTGGTGATGAGAGTACAGCAGACCAAGTCTAGGAACATTTAATTTCTAGATGTATTATCAAACAAGCTGAACATGAGGGTGTGTGCCTGTAGTTCAAACACTGTGGGAGGCTGAGGCAGAAAGATCTCCAGCTTGAGCCCATCTCGGGCAACTAAGCAACTTAGTGACACTCTGTTTCAAAATAAAAATTCCCCCCCCAAAAGGGTTGGAGATATTATTCAGTGCAAAACCCTGGGTTTAGTCTCCAAAAAGCAAGAATTTAAAATAGAGTGAAATAGAATCAAACATCCTTTAGTCATGTTCAATTAGAACTAAATGAGAAAAACAGTTCATAATACAAACATGCATTTTAGACCATATATTAAAGCTAAACAAAAAAGCTTGCCTAGAAGCTTTCTAAGTCAAGTTTTCTGAGTTGGGATCAGAAAGAAATGCTTCTTTCAATGACAGGTACTAAACTTTGTATTTCTTTTTTAAACAGACACTACAAGATTTAGCTTTGACTCCTTTAAGTGAGAACAATATTTATTTTGATTATTTATAGGCCATGCAACATAAAACAGTGTAGATGAGGAAAATATTCAAACCTTAGAAAAACCCAAAAATTATACCCAAACAACACAAAGAAACAAAAATACAGAAAATCAGAGAACTTGTAAAAAACCATGATAAGGGTGGCATTTTTCAAAAGGTAAGCAGAATCATCACCTGATCCATTAATTTTATTTCTTGGTATGTACCCCAAAAGATTTGGAGGTAGGGACTCAAACATTCAGATACTGGCACACAAATGTCCATAACAGCGTTAGTCACAATAATTAGAATATGAAAACGGCAAATATCTGTGGCCAAATGCACAGGTAGAATAATATGGCATAGACACACAGTAGAGATTTATTTGGCCGTACAGAGAAAAGAATTCTGCGTACACCAAAGCCTGGATGAACCTTGAGAACATTTGGCTAAATGAAATACACCAACACAGAAAGATGAAGGCCACCGGAGTCCACGGAGAGGACGCAGCTGGGACAGGTTTCCCAGAGGCTATAGCAAGAGCCCGGGGCTGCCCAGTGGGTGCAGAGCTTCTATTTGAGATGCGTTAGAAGTTACAGACCTGGGTGGGGTGATTAGGGATGCACTGAATGCTCTAAGCTGTATGTGGAAAATGGTCAGAACGGTGCATTTTGTGGTAGATATCTTTGGAAAGACTGATCGGTGCTCACTTCATGTGGTAAGATTGTGTTTAGTGCATTTATGTTGAGAATGGCAATTTAAATTGACACAACACATGGTGGAAAGATATGATGAATTTTTTATCATAATCCCCTTTGTTGCTACCTTTTGATTCTTCAGTTTTATTCCTAAGGACATAATTTTTAAATTATTTTTAAAGTTATTTTTAATTTTTATTTTATTTGTTTTGGTACCGGGGATGGAACTCACCACCTCACATTTGCCAGGCAGGCACTTCTGTGGCTGAGCTAAATCCCTGGCTGCATAGTATGTAACTTTTTCAAGTTTATAGTGAATATAATATAATGTCTGTGATGTATTAGTAAATAGAAAGCGTTATAAAATGGCATTATACCATGGGTGTAATTCAATTTGCATAAAAGAAAAATTTTCCAGTAACTTGAATTTTGATTAATGTTTGTGTTTGTAATTTTTTATTAACTTTAGTTGTTACTTTGTCTAAATAATAGATGCTAACATTTAGCAAAACTAAATATAATAAACATTTGAAATGTTAAAAAAAAAACCAACTAAACCTAAATTCATGAATGTGGAATACTAAGCACTGTGTGTGTGTGTGTGTGTGTGTGAGAGAGAGAGAGAGAGAGGGAGAGAGAGAGAGAGAGAGAAAGAGAGAGAGACTCAGTGTGCAGCTCAGGTTGGCCTTCCACTCACTGTGTAACCTAGGCTGGCCTCTAACATGGTGATCCTCCTGCCTCACCCTCCTGTGCTGGGATAACAGGCATGTGCTGCCACTGCTACCTTGACTACTGAGTTTAGAACACAAAACTCATACATTTGGCTCATGAGGCAACAAAAAGGATTCTGCGTGTCCACTGTGGCCTGCGTGCCACAGGTTCATCATCATTAGCACAGACCAAAGAATGATCGGATCCTTTCAGTAAAGCTTGGACATAAGACTTTTTAAGAGTCAAGCTACATACTTCCAAATGACCCTGAACAAAACTGAAGAATATTACTAAAGAGCTCAAAAGCATCTATCACCCAAAGGGTACAGTTCACAATGCCTGGAAACCAAAAAAAAAAAAAAAAAAAAACAAAAACAAAAAACAAAACAAAAAAAAAAACATTACCAGACACCCAAAAAGCAGGAAATACGAAGAGAGGAATATCAATTAATAGAATAGAAAGACAAGTGACATAAAGATACAATTAGTAGAAAATTTTCATACTATGATTTTTCTAAATCTGATTTTTTAAAATTTTATTTAAGGGGAAAAAGAGAAAAACACAAAACAAAACAAAGCAGTGTAAGGGTACACGTAATACAGAACTACAAAAAAAAAATAACAGTAAGAAATCACCTGTTAATAGATTACATATTATCATCTTAGAAATAGTTGCTCAAATCACAGTATCAAAGCATACAAGGTGGACATTCAAACAGGGAGACTGCAAACAGCTGTGTTCAATGATCCAAAAACATTGATATAGTCAGCTATTTAAAACCCCTAAATACACTTGCTGTTATATCCGTTATAGCTCTTTTTATTTTTTTCCCCTCTCTTTTTTGTCTGAGAAAATACTATACTTGAAGAGTTATAAAATGTAAAACACACGCATTAGTCTTCAGATGGAAACTATACCCTATGGATAGGACACTGGATGGGATTCACAGCAACTAGACACCGCAGAAGAAAACACCAGTGAACTTTTATGGTGCAGCAAATGAAACTCTCTAAAAGGAAACACACAGACACAGCACCTGAGTTAGCAATGGCTGCTGGAGGCTTCCAGAGTCAGGGAGCTGTGAGGGGGACCACCGAGGGACATCAGAGTGTGGCTGGATGAAGATCCGGGCCTCGGCCCACAGTAAGAGGCCAGGATCAGCCTGGACAGACAGAAACAGAGACAGAGACAGAGACAGAGACACAGAGACAGAGATAGACAGACAGAGACACAGAGACAGAGCCAGACAGACAGAGACTCAGAGATAGAGACAGACAGAGACAGAGACACAGAGGCAGAGTCAGAGACAAGACACAGACAGACAGAGACACACACACAGAGAGAGAGAGAGAGAGAGAGAGAGAGAGAGAGAGAGAGAGAGAGAGACAGAGACAGAGACAGAGACAGAGATTCCTGACACAGGCCGGGCAGGGACTACCCTCTGCGCTGAGGACGGTCTCTCTGTGGTGACCGCTGGTAGATCCCCCAGAAGACCCCCAAAACGAGAGACTCACAGTCTGCTGGGAGTATTTCAGTCTCTCCAAGAAAACCACACACAGCCCCCTCGCGGTCCATCCTGGTTCTGGCCCGGCGCTGCCATGGCAACGCCCTGGACGCCCAGACCTCCGGCGCTGCGCAGAGGGGCGCCTTCTCCAGGCGGGGCGGCGGGGGCGGCCAGGGACTGCGACCTGCCTTTCTGGGGGAAGCGTCTACCTCCCGCTGGCCGGCTGCCCCGAGGGCCTGTGCCCGTTGGGCGGACGCGGCCCCCATGCCGGGTCACCCCGCCAGCGCGGCCGGGGCACCCCTGCCCCGCTTCCAGTTCCGGCCACGGCTGGAGAGCGTGGACTGGCGACGGCTGAGCGCCATCGACGTGGACAGGGTGGCGAGGCAGCTGGACGTGCCGACGCTGCTGGAGAACATCAGGAACGTCACCTTCTGCAGAGTACAGGACGAGAAGTGCCCGCACTGCCACTCGGGGCTGCAGCCCGGGCTGCTGACGCTCATCCGCCTGGCGCAGCTCGCCGTCGAGCACCTGGTGCACTCGCGGGACTTCCTCGCCTCGCAGCTGCGGGGCCTGGAGGAGCGGCTGCGCCAGAGCCTGGGCGACTGCGCGCAGAGCAAGGCGCTGCTGGCCCAGCAGGCCGGGGAGCTGGAGCTGCTCAAGCGGGAGTGCAAAGGTGCCAAGAAGATCATCTCGGCCCAGCAGCTGCTGATCAGAGCCAAGGCCTGCTATTGCCAGGGTCGCCCTGCTTCTCTACAAAGCCACCTTCAAGGTCGCCACCCTGATGATTCTCGTCTTGAGGGTAAGGCCAAGACACAGACAGACGAGCTGCAGGAGGAGATCGAGGCGTTGAAGGCCCAGCTGCAGCTGACCAGGTTCCAGCTGGACGCTGCCCGGCAGGCCCCCGAGGTCAGGTTCTCCAAGGAACACGTCTTTCTGAGTTTACTGGATTTGTGGAAAGAAGAAAAGAAAGTGAAACTAGTTGGTGAAGTGGAAAAAGTCAAAGAGATGTTTATGAAAGAGTTTAAAGAGTTAGCTTCCAAGAATTCAGCATTAGAATATCGATTATCAGAAATCCAGCGGTCTAATACGCAGATCAGCTCCAACATGAGCTCGCTGAATGATGCACCCGAGCCAAAAGAAGACTGCTCCGATCCTCGGGATTTCTGAAGCATGATGAAGCTTGTTGACAGCCAGGGAAGCAAGTGGACAGTGCGATTGCCAGCTCTGCCTCAGGAGCACAAGAAGGACAAGGGTCAGCTCCTGCCACCTACCGAGAAACTGCAGGCCTCAGCGATAGACGACCTAACTGCAAGCAATGATTTCTACAAAAAAAGGATGGAAGACCTTTACCAGAAAGTCCAGGAGTAGAATGAGCTGATTCTCACACAGAGGCGGCAGATTAAAGAGCTGGCCACTAAGCCACCTCTCAGCAGGGTCAGGGAACTCAAAGGGAAGTCTTCAACAAGGCGAGGTGTTCGCTCTAAGTCAGCTACTCCAGCCTTCCCTGTGAGTATCTCAACCCCTCAGACTCTGCAAGCCAAACCAGATCTAACGAGGCCAGCCGAACCGGTATTCTTGTCGCACGTGCTGAGACCAGAAGGAGAATTTCCAGAGGAAGCAAAAGGAAGGGAAAATGAAGAGAAATCCAATTACTGGAGAAATTTAAGGAAAGCATTGCAGACGAAGCCTGATCGCACTAAGGAGATCAAAACACTCTTGGAACAGAGCTTGGTAGAGGAACTAGAAACCTGGGATATTAATGCAGACACACGCAGTATTCCAAACGATCTCTTGAGTATTGGGATGAGCGCGGTGGAATCAAGACACAAGGAAACAAGACAAACAGCGATCAGGCAGCAGATCCGAGAGTCCCTTCAGCATGAGCTGAACTGTAAACTGGAACAGCGAACATTCCTGCCTTCAGACAGGCGCAGTGGGCCTCGGGTGGACACCCATCAGGCTGCAGAAGTCCTCAGAGCATCCCAGCTTCCTCCGCAAAACAGACAGTCGGTTACGCAAAAACCTGCTTTTCCTGAGAAGACGGCTGTCCCAAAAATTCAGAAAAATAGCATAGGCCATTTTCCCAGGAGGTCTGCGTCTGCTCTGAAGCCTGTGTTGGGTTCACAAGAGGAGCTGGGTGAGGGCGGGTTCATGCAGGCTTGGGCGTCTCCTGAGTCACCTCTCGAGCAGTCTTCTCCAAGCAACAAGGATGGCATCAGAAAGATCACGGTCAGCAGTGGCACGGACGGGACAGATGGGAGCAAAACTGTGGGCCCCGACGTTTCTCCCGAGCCCACAGGAGCCTGCATGGAAACACTAGTGGAGAAAGTCGGAAAGATGGTGTCCCATCACAGACATGGGAATAAACCAGCCAGGGGGATTAACGCTGCTGATGTGTTGATGACAAAGGAAGAAATACAAGATGAACTAAAGTGCTTAGATGTGGAGGACGACGACTGGGACACACAACCCCTGGAGGAAGGGACACCTACGAGAAGAAACCTGGGGAAGAGCTGGAGGACCCTCCACTGGTGAAGAATGAATTGAATTCAACTCAAGTGCGGAATGCCTGGGGCGCCCTCTAGCGGGACCAGGGAAAACAACCGAATATTTCTAAAAAGAGCTAAGTGAGACCCACTGAAGTGATTACAATTCTACACATCGCAGGATTCTCCCAGGAGCCAACAGTGTTCAGCACATGATTCTAAAGCACCTACCTTACAGTGTTTCCCTCATTATCAAAAAATCTGGAGGAGAGAACAATGGTCTATTTAATGGCACTTAGTTCTGCACTGAAAAAGAAACTCTCAATGGTATTTGAAAGTGTGTAAAAGTGTTTCACTTCTGCAGCTGAAAACATTTCATTAGTCATAAAAATATTTTGTTCAGGATGGTACCCTAGTGCTGTGTATTTTTTAACAAAATTTTTAATGAGAACAAAATTTCTCACTTGTAGCAGTGTTTGGTTACAATGGTAGTAATTTTTAGAAATATCTTTTGTGTATTGCCATATTGGAAAGTTTGATATTATAAAATTGTGCTAGTCTTTATATTCAAGGTAGTGAGCAGTGAAACCTTAACAGTTAGGTTGATTATTGATTGTGTCAGAGGTAAGCTTATAATAATGTCTTAGTTGCTTTTGTCATTGTTGAGACAAAATACTTAACACACACCAGTTAGAGGAGGAAATGTTTATTTTGGCTCACAGTTTGTAGAGGTTTTAGTCCACAGTTGGCTGGCTCTCAGGCAGACAGCGTGGTAGAGGAGCACCACAGAGGAAAAACAGTCCATGGCAGGGCAGATAGGAAATAGCAGCTACAGTGAACAATAAATTGGTTTTCCTTTTTTTTCTCTTTTATTCCATCCAGATTATAAGCCTATTGGTTGCTGTCATCCAGGCCCAGGGTGGGCCTTTCCATTAATCACACCCAGAACTATGCTAAACTGATTGTTGGACTAATTTAGTTACCATACACCCTTGATTTGTATTCATACCCCTTAGACACAGTCACCTTGGAAAGTCCCACCTGTGAGCACATGGGGCTTTGGGAGGGAGTGGGGGGGGTAATCTAGATATAAGAATCACATTCTAACCCTGAATCCCAACATTCATGTGAATCCTTTCATTCAAAAAGTGTTTAGTCCATCTCTAAGAGTTATTGTAGTCCTAACAGTGTCAGTATTGCTAAAAATCCAAGTTCAAATTCTCTTCTGAGATTTAAAGCAAACTCTTAACTTTGAGCTCGTATGAAAATGAGAAGAAAGTTAAACAATTCCAACACACAGTGGAATGAGATAAACATTTTCATTTTAAATAGGGGGATAGAAAGGAATGCAACCAAATAAGACCAAAATCCAGCAGGGCAAGCATTAAGTCCTGTAGTTCCATGGCTGATATCTTGGGCAATCCATAACAAGCTGTAAACTCTAAAAGACCTGGATGGCACTGCCAATGGTTGCAGTCCTCATGGTTTCTCTGTTGGGTAGACTTTGCTCCCACCTTGCGGCTTTCCTCAGATGATCTATGTTCCTGGCTTCCCCAAACCCCTGGGCTCTTCCCTGCACCTTTGGTCTTACACTCACAGCCTCACACGCTGCTCCCTGCGGGGAACACCGCCTGCTTTCTCAGGCCCTCTTATAAAATCTGCGTGGGACCTTCCTGACCCCACAACTCTTGCATTCTGCATGACCCTAAAACCAGCACCATGTGAATGATAGCAAAATCTATTGCTGTAAGGACTCAATTCTAAGATTAATAAAAGCACAAGTACAGAGCAACAAACTTACAGACATGTTACAGCAATTTAAAATCAAATAGTACCCTCTGCCTATGCTCCTGCTGCCTGTCACATAAACACCCTGCTGAATTCAATGTGCCTTAACTGTCTAGGGCCAGCTGCTTTTCTTCTGATAATGCACTGGGTCAGTTTGACTATTCTCAGCTTGTATTTCCTTCAGTTAAAAGCATATATTGCTTTCACCTGGCTTCAAGGACTTTGGTTGGATTGAAGTAACCTAGTCAAAGATAATTTTTAACTCTGCCTTAACCCCTGCTCTCTTTCTCTGAGTGTTCCTACATTGTGATAAACAATTCCTTTTAAGCAAATGTATTTAGAGTTAGTTTGCCTCCGATGTATGACTTCATTCAATCTATGTAGCTAATCATGCAATGCCCCGCACTTTCGGTCTATAAACTATATTTAAGCTGGACTCAAAGCTGGCTCTTTGCTGGTGATTTAAACACTGTCAATTGTCCCCCAGCCCATCAGTGTTATGATCAATAACATTGCTTTCTAGATTCCTTGGTGCAAAGAGTCTTCCATTTGGTTTGCTACTGGCTTTGCTGCAACATCCGGTGTGTCAGCTGGGAAGACACCTTGCTGGCCACTTAGGCCACTGGTGCAGGCCTGCTGAGCACTGCTGGGGCCCAGCCATCCTCTGATTGCAGAGGAGAAGGCACTCTGTCTGGAGTTTTCTTGAAGTCTCCTCAGCAGTTGAGTGAGGAAGGCCCCATACAACAGCAGAGAGCTCTTTGGACCCTGGGAGGAATCAGAACATGACTGGACCAGGCCCTGGGATCAAGTAGACCTGACCCAGGTTGTGTCCCACAGTCAAAATGCTTACCTGCTTGTTACCGCCCCCATTTCAGGCAAAGGAGGAAGTGACCACCTGGACATTCTTGTTTTAGTCAGAGTGGTCAGTTGCAGCCGCTGCTCCAGTTAGACTTGTCCCGGGGACTGGGGATGGGAATGTGGTACCTGTGGGCACATGTGTGGACTCAGAGCGGTCAGTGTAAGCCATAGACTGGTCCAGTGCACGAAGACTGAGACGCACTGGTCGCTTTGCTTGATGGGGCTCTCGGCTGCGATGTCATGGCGACGACATGCGGCATAACGGAGGCTCTGCACTCTTTTTGGCTAAGTAGAACCTAAGTCCTGGGACCGGCGTGGCACCTCTGGGAGTGGCCCCTCCTTCTTTCGCGACTCAGACTCCGGTCAAGGGTCGGAGAACACACACCGTAGGGAGTCAGACTGGGCGCGAGTCAGAGAAAGCCCACTGCGTTAGGCTGCATGACGGGAAACTGCGAGGAGGGCTCTTTGGCAGACTGCAGAGTGCAAATGAAACCACAGCAGCTCCTACTTTCTGTGAGATCCACTGGCCGCGCTTATGCCTTGCTTGGCCACCAGAGGGAACCCTAAACTTGGAAATCGTCTCTCGAGTCTGGGGCAAAACGGTCCCACCCTGATCAATTTCCTTATAGTGATTGGTGGTTGGAACTGTGTAAAAACTCCCCGCCATGGCTCTGGGCTTGTGCATGCCAGGCAAAGGGAGCTCTCCTGGTGATTAAAGATGTCCAGCAAAATAAAAAGGACCCCAAAGACTAAAATCAAAAGGATTTATGCTATCTTGCCTGATGGTTCCAATGATGACTTCTCTCCTCCGTACACAGGTGGCCGTGCAAATGTGGCAGACCGTCCACCGCCGTCCCCACCTCCTGGCCAGCTGCCACAAGCACAGCCTGATTCTACTGCTCGGTCCCGACTGACTGCCCTGTTGCTGCCCAGTCCTGAGGAGCAGTCTGAACCGAGTCCCCTCAGTCACCGGCTCCATCCATTGCATCTCCAGATGCCTGTCCAGGGATGCCCTGGCATGGGAGGGGGCGACCAAGTCAGCTTGCATAGTACTACAGCCTTTTAGTTCCAATGATATTCTCAGCTGAAACATCACACCCGACCACATTCAGAAAAGCCTCCAGCCACAGTTGGGCTCTCGGTCCAGATCTTCCAGACACATCAGCTGACTTGGTAAGGCTGCCAGCAAATCTGAACCCCTTTAGTACTGAGGAGTGGGCTCACATTTTGGAGGGTAGATGAGCTTGGCTAAAAACCAAAGATCCAGAAGATGTTATTGGCCCAGAAGCCTTGCGTGAGTGCTGCCTTCCCTGCTAAACTGCCAGATATTGCGACTTTAACACTGAAGCTGGCAGTGCAGCTTTGACTGGATAGTGAAATGCACTTCATTTCAGGGAATGAAATCAGAGGGGAAGAAGTCATCACCCTGTCTAAGGTGGCTGTGTTATCCAGGAGCCAAATGAAAGCCCTGTGAGATTCTACGAGAGACCAGGTGAAGCTTACCAGATTTGTACCCCATTTATCCTGAGGCTCCTGAGCATCGGCAGTTGATGAATTCAGGTTTTGCATTTGCAGTCTGCACGTGACATCTGGGAGGAAATCCAAAATATGAAGGCTTCTCTGGCATGAATGATATCAACTACTCCAAATAGCTCAAAAGGTTTTAACAAGCCAAGAGGGAAAACATCAATGTTATCAGACTGCTTTCTTGGCTGCACTTGTGGCAAAGCTGCTCCTGGAAGGGCTGAGAACTGGTCAGGGGTGAGACTGAGGCCCAGGCAACAAAGCCTCACAGGGGTTCCCAAGTCCAAACAGGCAGCCGTTCTTATGTTCTGGCCACAAACCCATGCACCAGATGCAAGCAATTCAGTCCTGGAAAGACAGCACCTGAAAGACCAGCAGGCCTCAGAGGCAGCATGAAACTTGCCACCACCTGCAACCCTGTTCTTGCTCCTTGCTGGCACTGATTATGGAAAACCGAGCTCTATCAGATTAGATAGCCTACAGTCACCATGAATGTTGGGGAGAAGTCAGTGACTTTTATGGTTGACAGCAGGGACAGCAGAACTGCCACCCAACCAACCTGTTGCTCCTTTGACCTCTCGCCAAATCCAAGTCATGGGGGCTACTGGCGCATTTGCTGCAAAAACGTTTTGTCAAAGCAGATCTTGTGAGCTTGGAGGACATCTCATCAAACATGAATGTCCTGTTTCTTTGCTGTGCCAAGATCTCCGGTTAAAATTGACAGCCACAGCCTCCTTTGGTCGCAGGCAACCTGCCACCTTCAGCCTTGGGCCACAGGCTCTAGGTTTGATACTGACTCTAACCGTGTCCCTAAGAAGAAGAGCGGCAACTCTGTCAAACAGAAACACCCGAAGACTGTAATCCTGAGGTTCTAAACACTATGTTTACAGAAGTCCGGGGACTTGCTCTTAACCATGCCCCTTTGATGACTGGACTTAACAGTGGAGCTGACCATTGCACTTAAACAATATCCCATGATCCGAGAGACTTGCCTTGGGATTCAGCCCCACATCTCCAGTCGGAACCAAGGTGGGATTTTAGTAGATGCCAATCACCTTGGAACACTCCAC